GAGATAATCATTTAAAATTCCTCTTTACATGTATTGCAGCAATAATATCTGATTTGCCACAGGCGGGGATGTGAAAAGGTGTCTGCTTTTGGGAAAAGGGGGCAGTTTCCAGCTTCTCACTTGAAGTGCCTACTGTGTGCTCACTATTTTCCAAACCTCTCAGTGAACGCTTGCAACATCTCTAAGAGTTCGCATCATGTTAAAGCTCCGGTTTACATATGAGAAAATTGAGAATCAGAGAATGGAAAGTAGTTTGTACAGGTCACAGATGCTGAATTGGAGCAAAAGTTTCCTTAAAGCCACAGCGACAAGGTCTGGAATGGCCTGAAGATTATTGCCATTGTTTTCTCAGAACAGATAATCTGTTCATTTCAGCTCCATCTTGCTCTTTCACTAAACCTGCATGCATTTACTAGGGGCTTCCTTGTGCCTACCAGGGGTGATAAGGGAACACCCCAAGGAACAAGAAACACCCTTGAGATACATTTGCCCCTGAGAATCCAGAGGAAATGGCCATTTCCATGGGTGGAGAGAATCAGGGAAGACTTCTGGAGCACCAGTGTTTGGTCTGGGCCTTGATGTAAGAGTTCAATGTGCTTATGGAAAGTGCTGGAAAGGAAAAGGGGAATTCCCAACAGCCCCAGACTCTGTCAACAGGGGCCAGTGCTAGTCACCATTTTTGTATCTGTGACACTCACACAGGCATTTGTCCAAGGCTAAGTGAAGCAGCTAAGTGCTTTCTTTCAGTTGGTAAATATCTTAGTGCTTTTTCAAGAACTACTACACTAAAATGTCTCTGGAACAATTACTGTGCCCCTCACACACCTTCAGGCAAATTAACCTGTGAACATACACCAATTCTTAGCATCCTTTTGAAAAGCAGGCACTGAAGTTGTTGGGTAAGGCAAAAAAAATGGCTCTTAGAGAAGAATTTCTGTCTGCTCAGAGAGTGAGAAATGATAGCTACTATTTACAAAAGACCTACATCATGTCAACTACTCCACATATACACTCTCTCATCACCTTCACAGATGTGCTGGAAAGTCATGGCTGTTATCACCATTTTGCAGATGAAGAAACTGAGGCTCGGTGTGTTTCCATCATTGTCCAAGGTCAAGATAATCAGAAGAGGCAGGCTTAGAACTACGATTTCGGGCTAATGCCCAAGCCTACATTATCCTCATTTTTTGTGTGCAACAAGGTGAAGATCCCCTTTTAGATGCTCTGGGCTCTCTGGCTCCTCAGTCCCTTCAGTCAGCAGCTCTGGCCATGAGTGCTCCCTTGTTTGCCCCCAGTCTCACCCTGTGGCTGCCTCTGGCCCCGCATGCTCAGCTCTGATCATGTGGTAAATCCCCCAGGGCATCAGGGACAGCAATGTCCATAGAATCATTCTCTCCCTCCCCACCCATCCAGGAAGAGCTACTATGGCTTGTCCGGGGAAAGAACTCGATACCTCATGTGCACAAAACGGAAAACTCTACAGAAGACAAGCTGGGATCTGAATCCTGGCTGTTCCCCTGCCTGGCCAAGGGTGCCTGGTACCTCCATGCTGAGAACAGGACTGGGTGAGAAGGAAGGGTAGGGCTGGGAGGTCTGTGACCCTGAGCTCAAACCCTTGCCTGCCACATCTTGGATGTGAAATACTGACAAGTCTTCAGATCTCAGTGGCCATGTGTAAGTAAAGTCAGCAATAGCACTAGCTAGAGGTGCTTGTTGGCAGTGTTAGATGAGTCTGATACCTCAGGAACTGGTAATTCTTTACAACTTCCACCCCTCCAGCAGCACTGGATTCACCTGTGTCTGAACAGCAAAGTTGCAGCGTAGGTAGGAGATGAGCGAAACAGGATGCACCCTGAGCCTCATCTCCCCCTCCACACCCCCGGCTCCAAAATCCAGTAGGGGGTGCTGACAAATGATGGTCTCAGGCCAAACACGCTCCACTGTCATTTGCTTTCATAAAATAAAATGGTCTCACAATATATACATCGTGACTCATTTACATATTGTTTATGGTTGTTTCCACCTTATAATATCAGAGCTCAAAATATTTACTTCTGGCTCCTTTCAGAAAAAGTTTCTTGTTTTTAGCTCATTTATTAAGATTTGATATAAATCTTCATATAGAAAAACAAACACAGGAGTTCTCTGGTCTTGTCAGAAGAGATATCAATATATTTTCTATTTGTTTTAATATAAACATATAATTCAATAAAATGAGCTCTTTCTGTGGTAGCTCCCTAAACACAAGCTCGTGGTTTCCTGTCTTGTGTGGACCACTCAAAAGGGAAGCACCTTTGAGGCGTGCCTGCTTTGGAAGTAAGGTCCCAGGTCCTCTACCCACCACCCACTACACTTCCACTGTCTTGCTCTGACCCATTGATCTTAGTGTTTCTTGGTCATTACGTAACATTTATATTACACAGACTTCTCACACTTGCTTATTTTTTGTCTCGCCTGCTACACCCCACCCCTACCCACCATAGGCAGAGATTTTTATTTTTGTGCTAATTCTTAGGTCTCAGAGACTTTCTAGCACTTGAGGCATAAATGACCCCACAAATATTTGGGAACTGAGTAAACGTGGATTTCATTGAAATGATGGCAGCCACTGTGACGTCCATGGAACATTTGGGGACTTTTAGTGGGACCAGGTGGCCTTCTGATCTCCGCAAGGAGGGTGTGTTTCTCCTGCGTTGGAGACGAGCCATCATCTCTGGCTGACACAAGCCACCCGGGCTCTTGCTCCAGTGCAGTTTCTGAGTCAGGTCTGAGAGAGGCTATGGGGGCTGCAGCTGCAGCTGGAGGCAGATGAACCAATGCGGGATAGATAGGATTCAAGGCGCCCACTCGGGGTCTCTACCTTAAACTTGGCAAAAGAGAATTAGACATCTGGAGATCATACGGGTCATTTCCTCTATGACCCCTTTTCTCCAACTCCCTGCATCATCTCTCACTTTTGTGGATTCACAACACACTTCCCTCCCCACCCCGGGGCTGCTCCCTGTACCCCAGACCTGTCTTCAGATCTCCCCTTCCATAGCCACCCAGTTCCCGCTCTTCCTGCCTTCTCCTTTCCGACACAGGTTCCTCTTCTCTCCCTTCACCTGTCCCCGTGCATCCTCACTCAAGTGACCCATTTTACCTTCCTCCTCTGTTTAGGCCCGACTGGTCAAGCAGCAGTGCTTTTCCTCATGGACCTCAAGGGTGGCTCCCTCTCCAAACTTTGCCCTATGACCCACACACGTGACCCCTGAGGGCAGTGCACCCCAGGTCATACACACCATCGCTGTGCCAACCCACTGCTATCAGCTCCCTTGCTGCCATGACCTTCTCTCCTCAGCTTGTAGGGTTCTCCTACCTCTGCTTGCTTTGTCAGTTTTCTCCTCCTCTGAGTAACTATGGTCAGTTCCTGAGCTGGCATTGAGATTGCACTGCAGAATCTGTGGCTTAGGACTTCAATTTGGCACCAACTGAGAGGACCTTGTGCATCACGGTAGCTTGAGCTACAAATACTTCAGTCTTTTACCTACACTCTCATCACACCATTGGTCAGTGATTTCTCCATGTGTCTGGCACAGTGTATTGTGCAGAGTGGCTCTGTGCACTGGCTGCTAGAGTGGGGAGGTGCCTAGAGGTTGTGATGGGTCACTGTATGCCCACCGTTATGTGCAGCACTGGTGCCATAAGAGGCCCTGGAAACCCGGAGACCCACCCCCCAGGACACCAGTACTGCCCAAACCCCTCATGGCTTCTTATGGGGGGGAGAATAAAACTAACGTCTCATAAGTGTCAACGTTGTGCCAGACACTTTACAAAGTCATCTCCTTCCCTTGCCAAGGTAACTCTATGAGTTAGGCACTATTACCCTTATTTTAGAGCCAAGATCAACAAGTCTCAAATTGTTCAGAAAACTGGCTCATGGGTGCATAATTGGTGCAGAGCTGTGTGACTCCTCAACCTCATTCTCTTTCTACCAGTGCAACATTGTCTTGTATCTTTGTTAACTGATCACCACCGGAGCCTGTAGACCTGTGGGTGCAAGCACTGAGCACAGGGTGTGGAGCCCTGGCTGGCTCCGGTCTGATCTGTGAAGGCTTCAGCAGGTGATAATGACAGACGCAGCCCCTCTTACAAGGCTCCAAGGGCCAGAGGAAGACATGGGCAGATAGACAGTGTATTTGTCCAAACTCAGACATTCTGAGATTTCATTCTACTTTTTTGCTAACTACATGTGTGATTACACATACCTCAGTTTTCAAATGTGAAATGCATTTGAGACTATGCAAATGAGACTAACTCAGTACTTTTTTTTAACTGTTTGTTACCAAAGGTTTATTTCACTAAGTTTTTCTCTTTACCCTCCTGTTTTGAAATGTTTTAATAATGAAAAGAATATATTACATTTATTTAGAATGTAAAAAGAAAGAGACAATCAGCCACCTATAACTCCCAAAACACACTGATAGCATAAGACAACTAATGCTAAACACCAAACTGAGGTAACTGTACTTCAAAGCAAAGACCCTGGACATGTGGACTCCATGAATCTGGTTCTGGATAAAGCCTCGACTCCCTGTAGACTTCTTTCCTCTAACCTTTGGACCAAGGGCAACCCATCCCTCTAGTGCACACACTGGACCTCCAAGTTGCTGATAAGCTGGCCCATATCTAGGTTTGCAAGTCCTGCAGGTGCACTTGTTAGAATTTGGGGATTCCTAACTAGAAAACCATAATGACAAAGGGGAGAACAGCCTTTGAAATCTCCAAAAATGGGGTCAAGGGTGGGGAGGAATCCAAGATGGCAGAAACATATCAAACATGGATGATGACAGAGCATTTTCAAATGGCAAGCATCTATGCAAGACAAACTTTGAGGCCACGGGCAGACTTAGACAGAAGTGAATATGAAAACCCAACAGACACTTGGTCGGTGCAGGAAATGCATGCTACAGGTTCCCTTACGGGGCATGAAGCAAAGTTAACACCGGGTCGATACTTACAAGTAATAGGAGTAGGAATAAGCATTTCTTCTATATATTGATGGGCAGTCAGATGAAGGAAATGTCCAAAAGGGGGGAAAAGAAAAGACAAACAAACAAGAATTAGATTTATATGAAATCTTGATTCTTAGAAATGTACATAGTACTTTAGCATCCCGAAGCTAGAGGAGATGCAAGTTTCTCTGCTCATCATCTTTACTGAGAATCAGGTATATTCAGCAGTGGAAGAAATGGAAAAGACCCCACATATGACAGAAAAGCTCACTATTCATACAGAAGAAGCCAAGTCTCAGTTTGCTGTTTTAATGATCTGAAAGCTTTTTATATGGTCAACTAACAGGGCCTCCTTGCAAGTATAATTTTTGGGTCTTGGGTCAGATTTCTGTGGCCTTTGAGAAATGAGTCTACTACTCTTCCACATGATCTAAGGAAAAACCATCGGACTTCGATCTTTTCTATTTGTGGTTCAATAATTTCAGAGCTTCTTTAATGTGGTCATGCTAGAAGCAAGCAAACTCAGCTGGGATCCATATTTCTCAGGACTCACATTGCTGTAGTGCTCTTCTGCACTAAGTCAAGGATCATCTTAAATGACTAACAGAATGTGATAGGAGTTACATTCTGGGGTTTTCTAGAGTAGGTCAAAAATCAGCCTGGCAGCTCTGTCTGGATCTCTGGAACCCTCCCATCCAACCCTGAGATTCTCTGTAAGGCCAAATACACTGAGATTGTGCTGGAGAGACCATGAGGTAAGGTCCTGAGATTGCAGGAAGAAAAAGAACCATCCAGCCAGGCCCCAGCCACTCTAGCCCCAGCCCACAGTATGGTACAAAATGAGACCCTTGATATTAGAGAACAGAATAAGTCATTCTCTTCAAGCCTAGACTAAAGTGCCAATTCATGAGAAAAATAGATCACTAAGTTTTATGGCTCATTTTTAAGCTACTAAATTTTAGGGAGTAGTTTGTTATAGAGAAGTGGATAACCAGAACAAAATCCAATCTTTACCATAAAAGAGCATGGCATGAAGGGAGAGGAATTCTAACCTTCAAACTGAACATTACTTGAATAAACTCTCTGTGCATTCATTTCCTCATCTGCTTCTTACAATAGTTGAGTCTGAGCAGTACTTTTCAAATGACTGACAAATTAATAAAACAAACACACAAAACTAGTATTTTCAGAGCCTGGGGATTCTGCAGAACAGCCTCATTATAATAACAGAGAAGTGGGATTCTGAGTGGGTAGGGTTTCTGGTCCCCCACTACCCATAAAAGACAGAGCCTCTCCATTATTATCTATTTTGTAAATTGAAGTTTCATTTATGATTCTGAATGCCTAAGAATTGCACTCCAAAAGAAAACCTGAAAAATCACTACCTGAATTTTCTTTCTAATGTCCCTTCTGGCTCTTGGCTTTTGAACAATCAAATGACCTAAATAAGTCCTGAATTTTCTTTGTTATAACTTTTCTTACTGTATAGGAAAATAAATAGGAATGCTTTTATTTTACAGACTTTAGCTACTCTGGCAATAACTGATACATGTGTGGTTTGAGAAAAATTGCTGAATAATTCAGGTCCCCAAATATCTAGGCAAGAATAGTTCCCATCCCTCTTGAGTTATTTGGTTAATTGTATCCATTATCTAGCTTGGTCGGCACTGGAAGATGCAGTCTTTATATGCACAGTGTGTGAGAATGTCATTAGAGTCCCGCATTTCCCTTTCTTGATTAGGAACTAACCAAGGAAGGGCCATCTTTAAACTTCCATTTATCAGAAATGCCAAATCTACAGTTCCAGAGGGAAAGTAACCTGAGAGATAAGAAGGCACGGTAGAAGGAAAGCTTCATGCCTGCTTAGGGAACTGAACTGGGGAAAATGAGCCACAGTCCAGCAAGATCTGCCTGCTTATAAAACTTCAACATTTTGGACCAAATGCCCAAGGTGAGGAAAGAAAGAGAAGAACTCAGAATTGTGATGGGTGGAAATTGGGAGAATCCCTGCAAGTCGTTTAAAGCTTCACCACCCATATAGGTTGGTGCTGAGAGAGATAGTTGCTCTTCTTCACCGCTGTTTGTATGATTCGGTACCTGGAAATGTGATTTCTCAGGGAAAGAGACCTGAGGATCCCATCCCGACACCTATATTTGATATCAACACTAGACTGAGAACCAAGAAGCAAGTTTTCCCATCCCAGCTCTCTCATGTGTCACTGTGATTTCTTGAGCAGTTGATTCCTCCTCTTGAACCAGCATACATGACTGCCAGTTTTATGAACTTTCTGCAGTGGGAATATGATAAATCTTTGAATCTGAGAGCCACCACTTGCTAACTGTGAGGTCTTTAGCAAAACATTAAATATTCCCGAGTTTCAGTTTCTCTTTCTTAATATTGGGGACAATAATGACTTATTCACAAGAATGTTAGGTGGGTGGGTGGGTGAGTGGGTGGATGGATGGATGCATCTATGTACTAATCAACGGATGCTACTGTAGGCAGTAATATTACTCCTATAAAATTACATTGAAATTACATGATATAAAATGCATATAGTAGTTAATTATATTAATCTCAGTTAATATTAGATAATAATAAACACCTGAAATGTGACAGGACTTGATGAAGAATTGATGTTCCCACCTTACTCACAGATATTGAGACTTGTTGTTCCTCACTCTGTAGGAATTTTAAAATTGTGATAAAATAAAAATTTATGTAGTGCTTACTATGTGTCAGGCATTTTTCTTGGTTCTTATACATTAATTCACACATTACCAAACCACCCTAATAGATAGTATTGATGTCACCCCCACTTTGCAGATGAGAAAACTGAGGTAAAAGGTAAGTCACTTGTCTAAGATCACATAGACAGCAAAGGAACTTGATGGCAACATGGGTCTACAGTTCATGCTCTTCGCCACTAGCCTGTACTGCCTTTGAGGAAAGAAGTATCTTGAGCAGCGCAGTGAGCCAGGCACCTCACATGTCTTTTCTCTTAGTTGTCCCCACAACCTCATGGAACAAGAATGACTACTGCCATTTTAAATGGAGGTGCTGAGAGGTCACTCCTCAGGAACTCTAAGGTTTTGTGTTGTTTTGGACTAACTGCAAGGCCTCCATCCCGCGCTGGGACCTTCTCACAGTCAGCAGAACCAGGCAGCATTCTCAGGCCCCAGGCTGCACTCCATGTTCTGGAACCTCTGACATTTCTGCGCTCTGCCTTCAGGATTCATCTCTGCCTGGGCCACCTCCTCATGGCCACATGCCCCTTAATCTTCAAACCACCTGTTTCAAGCAGCTCCTCTGAGTTATCCTGAATGTCACCAAAAGCCAGTACTATCCTTGCTTCAACATTCAGACACCTCCAGATTGATAGTAATTGATAATCTTTGTTAATTGAGTATTTTTTTCCCCAATTAATTTCTAAAGTCTTCCAGGGCAAGGATTACAGTTCTTTACTCCATGATCCAAACACAGCATACAGGTGTATATTCTCCAAGGTTTCAAGAAGATTTACCGAAGGTCTAAATTTACAAGGTTATAGCAATATTGCAAGTAGCAGATTGCCTGAGACCAAAAATCTGAGCAGGAAGACAACTGTGCTCAGAAAAAAACAAAAAACAAAAAACAAACAAAAAGAAAACAACAACAACAACAAAACACCCAAACTTAATAAATCACATACTGCAGAATCTTTTTTACCTGGCTGAAAAGACTGACTTCATGCAGTTTCCTTTTGTTCCATTTAAACAGAACTAAGTTGTCTATTTAACCATCTATTTGACCAGCTAGCCAGCCATCTAGTTTATAAATCCATCGGTCTGTCTACTCATCCATCCATCTACCCATCTATCCATCCATCTGTCTGTTCATCCAACCTTCCATCCATCCATCTATCCACCATCTAGCCATCCATCCATCTATCACTCATTCTCCATCCAATTAGTAGTCCATCTATCCACCTATTCATCCAGAAACCCACCTACCCATCCATTCACTTATCTATGCATTCATCCAGTAATCCATCCACATCCATTCGACCATATTTCTATTATTATTTCAGCAAAAACATCTTGAGAGCCTAACATACCTGTCTATGCCAAGTGCCAGAGATAGGCAAATGAAATCCTGATGCAATCTACATGATAATGACTGCTACCTATTAAACAGTAGAAAGTCACTTATGTGCCAGTAGATTCTAGGTACTGATCTATGTACATTATTTAGATTGTTTTATTTAATTAACACTATAAGGATTATCCATACTTTAGCATTGAGTAAAATAAGGTTCAGAGAAGTTAAGTAACTTGCCTAAGTTTATGTAGTTGGTAAATGGCATGGCAGTCTGACTTTAAAAGCCTGCATTAATAATGATGATATTATACTACTGTCTTCTGGAGTGATAAGAGGTATGATATGGCAATACAGGGAGCTGTAGGACCACATCCAAAGGTAAAACTGGGGAGAGGCAACAGGGGAGAGGTCTCTACGACCTGAGTTATGAAGTCATAGAGAAACCAGATGGGGTAAGGGGTAAAACGGAACTGTGTTCATAGACTGAGTGGATGGGGTCACTAGATGGGAACGTCAAGGTTGTGGCAGAGCCCAGTTTCCAAGAACTTAAGAAACTTGGTCTCAGTCCCATAGCTCAGAGCGAGAAGCCAGGGAGCCAAGAGGTCAATTAATTAGACTGATGATTACATGATTGATGAGTCTGGAAGGAATGTGAGAAAAAAGTCAAGGGGGGAGAGGAATTAGGATTATAAAGCTACTGCAGGGTTAGCACATGAGCCAGCAGGCTCTGCCTGGCAACAACCCTGCGTGGAGAAGAAGAGGTGATCAAGACCTAAAAGGAGCAGGTGATTAAAAACAGGTACAAGGAGGGGGAATCCCAGTTTCTAGATTAAAGAGTAAACAGAAGGACTCACTTTTCAGGGTGGGGGGTGAAGGAGCAGTTTAGAATGACACATTTCATCTGGGCTGCCTTCCTGCCCCCATGGACCCTCAAAATATGTCACACAAGTCAGCACCTCAGCGAGACCTGTTTTATATTTCATCCAAGTTAGATGGTGTTTAGGACTGTGGATGCTATTATCAGATTGCCCAAATCTGAGGTCTAGTTTTGCCACTTACAACGATATGATTTGGGGCAATTTTCTCAAACTCTACTTGTTTCAGTTCTCAGGTCTCTCACGTAATGTAATCGAACAGTGGCACTGCCTTTTCTGGCTCATCCTTCACTTAGCTTTTCCTAGCACCTCACAATTTTTTCCTGGATAGACAGTGTGTTACCTGATGCTTAACCCATGGTCTGTACATCTTTTACCAACTTCCTGCCATACCCCATCACTCCCAATCCTGACTGTTCTCCTGGGCTCAGTGTTGATATTTGGGGCTGTGTTCTGAGTGAAGCGTAGTTGTGCAGGAGATGGAATGTTGATCCAGGCCCCAATCTGTTGTAATTTTACTGGCTCTTCTATTCATGTTTTTAGGGAATTCCCACTTATCGCAAAGCACATTTGTCGTAAGGATGAATCAGAAAAGGCAGCTGATAGTCCAGTGAAGATAAGATGTGAATGACAAAGAAAAGGCAGAACATAACACTGAGAGATGTCCATAGAAAGGGTCCAGATGGTGACGAGATTGTGCCTAGACTGGAGATCAGAAAGGCTTTAGGAGAAGATGGTTGTGAGTTAGATGTTAAACAGAGATAATGTCTAGTGGAACTGAGGAACACAGGCATTGCCTGAGGAGGAAACATTCGAAGCAAAGGTATAGGAGTGGGGTGAGACTCAGGAATCCTGCAGAATCATTGTAGGTGGGGGCCATGGATTGACAAATCTATGATTATAACCTAGACGTGTGCTTCTCTCGTTCTGAACCCATGGACTATTGTTAAAGAAGTCATTGAAGCAAATTTGGGAGTACAAGTTTCACTTCTAAAATGTTACTCTGACTACAATATGGAAGGTAGGAAGTCAGAGTCAGGATCAGAGTCAGGAGTTTATGCAGGAGACCCACAAAATAAAGCTATCAAGATGAGGGAAGAGATGGTGGACAGTGAGGGAAGAGGGCATGACTAGAAGAATGCAAACATGCAGGTTCAAAAGTGTTGGGCGATGGGTTCCCATCTCTTTGGTTTAGAGAATAAGAAGCGGTATCATGAAGATGGGGACATCGGGGTGGGAACAGACTTAGGGGTAAGCAATGATTTTGGTTTTGATAATGAACCTGAAAAAATTTTCAAGATAGATGTTCTAGGGGCAGGTAGCACAGGGCAGTGTAGCTCTGGTGAGATAAAGTAAAAGCAGAAGAGCTGGTCCTCCCAGGTCACCCACAGCTTGGGTTGGCAAAACCACCAAGTAGTGGAATAAGTATACAACTGAAGGGCTGTGTGTGGAGGGGTGTGTCACTGGATTTCCCTGGGGCGAGTGGCTTGTGTGAAGATGTGATGAAGGAGGTAAGACTTGGAAGTCCTCCATTCAAGGGCTTGGTGCTGAAGATCAGACAATGATAAGAACCTTGTAGCTGACATGTCCAGACATTTGTTCATGGTTATAGCATGCATAAAAAGGCAGAGGGTAGTGGAAAATGACACCAGAAGTTGGGTTGCTTGTTGCCTAGAACAGGAGTCATTTATTTTCTACTAGGAGTCTCCAAGGACAGATAGATTTGAAGGGAACAACATGGGGTCTGGAGTCACAGAACCTTGGTTTGCTTTTCAACTATGCTAAGACCTTAGCCAACTCATAATTTTTTTTTGAACCTCAGTTATCTCGTCACAAAAAAACAGGAGGGCCAACATTCTCTCCTATGATCGATTATTTAGAGGATTGAAATCAGGATTTGCAGCAGTTTAAATGAAGAATGAACAGCTCCTTAGGCCAGAGTGCCTTTAGCATATTAGCATACTGGTAATAGCAATGGAGCAATAGCATTACTGATAGCAATGGCAACAGTTAACATGGTAAGAGCAGATTGCATATTAGCAATGGCTGGCCTGGTCCAGTCACCGGTCACTTGCAAGATGAATGTCCCTGTTGATCTTGCTCTGTGAGATCCCTTTGTATCATTGTGGTATAAGGAACAAAGCTTGTCCCAACCATTATCTCATTTGAGCATCAGAATGGCCACATGACATTGCTGCATCTCTCAGGTGACAAAGCAAAGCCTGCATTGGGATGATCTGTCTGTTATTCAGGGCAGTCTTCTCCTTTAGAACTTACTCCTTTTAGGTAACTATCGACAGCATTCTGGCCAGCAGTAAGTAATAGACTCAACTGACCAATGACGTTTTCCCTATATTCATTTATGGGGTTAGGTCTGAGGAAGTGACACAAGAAGACACTGTGAGCTAATGAAAAGAGTACAGATCCATGTTTAATCCCTCTTTTCTCCCTTCTCTTATTTCCTTCTACTATACCCATCTGTAAATTACTACTATCAACTAGGTCAGCAAAATGCCTTATATTTTCTCTAAGATGCTGTGCATGTAAGCACTGATCAACATGCTGTGCTGCAGCCCCCAGCCCTTGCAACCACATCTGAGTTTTGCCTCTCAGGAAGAAATGGTGATCACGTGATGTCTGCTGGTTGGTCTGATGGATACCTTTCATAGAGGTGAGAGTTGATGAAGATATGCAGGAGAGGTTAAAAGTATACAAAATACTTGCTTTATACTTGTTCTCACCCTGGTAAAAGAAAGCCCTTTCCTCCCTCCCCAAAAGTCACACATTTCAGAAATAGCTGTTGAGAAGGAAGTGAATTTTTCTTCACAAGCTTACAGACGATGGTGACGTGGGTTAAGCCAGGCTTTAGAAAGAGCAAAATTGGAAGAGTGTATCTGACTTACAAATCAGTGGCAAAGAATGAGAACATTTCAGGTCTATCAAAAAGGATGGCAATTCTATTAAACTGATTACTTTGTCCAGGTAGACAACCCCAAACTCACCTCTGCATCCAATGTGCCTACAATATTCAGAAACATGTCAATGATCTTATGTGAGCAATGTGCTTATTGCCTTCTGAGAAATTACATTTCATATTTGACTTCATCGAATAGCAGGTCCCTGGGATGCACAATAAGACCACGTTTTATGAATGATGATGATGACAATGATGATGATGATGATGATGCAGTACTGATCTTAGCACTTGGGGGGCTCTTAACCTCCAGTATTTACCTAATATCATACCTTCCCTCTACACTTTCCAATCATTGACTAAGAAGATGGCTTGTCTCTAAGATGGCTAAGTACCTTAACTCTAGGTCATTCTGCTAGGAGCCTAAGGAAAGGCATGATTCTCTTAGGATAATGATGTCAAGAAAGGACAAGGTCCTACCCATCAGATATCCTAGTCAGAGAGAGAGAGCTGCTTGATTCAGAACAGAACAGACTCAGGAACATTCTGGTGCCAGGCTGGCAGAGAATACCAACTGCTTATATAACGGGAACCCCAGTATTTTTTGGCTTATTGATGATTGGAAATGGGGACATTGTCCTCTTTTTAACTTCCTACATTTATATCCATGAGATACCTTAGGCAGAAGCTGAAATTTGTCTCTGGGACATTTTCCCCTCTATTCTAGTGGGGAACAGGCTTCATGAGCATTTTTTGTTCTAGATATGGGAGCGAGTCCTTGTAGCTGAGGTCCCCTGAGCTCCATGATCCCCAAGCCAAGAGCTACAGCATGAGGTGTTAGGTAATTCATCTAACAGCACAAGCATCACTGAATTGGGACAAGGCACCTTTCAGTATACATCATTATAATATACTTAAGTGTTTTGTTTGCTCTGGAGGAATGGGGGAGTAGGAAGGTGAAGGCCAAAGTTGGGCTTGGGTCCTGCTGTATTGACAGAGATATTGAGGTAGTTGGGCTTACGGTCAGACACCTGGCTTCGGACCAGGGGCCAAGGAGAGCTGGGCAGGAGGATGCCTGGGCAGAGGAGTAGCCAGTGCTCCTGAGGGACAGTGTAGCTGGTATTCACCAGCTTCCCATGATGAATATTTTCTTGCCCTCTGCCATTCCCTTGTGTTGTCCCCAACTGAAGATGGCTGTGTGGTGATGAGGGATGAGAGAGGAATCTACCCAGTTCTCATGAACAATACAGCCTAGAGCAAATGCACAAAATGTGAGGTAGCTGTCAGCTGCTCAGAGGTGGCTAGGTAGGCAGCCTCTTGAGAGATGACAAATGGCAACAATCTAGTTGGAAATGTTTTGTGGGAAGTAGGCTAGGCAGGAGCCTTCCCTAGAGACTCTTACACTAATGGAGGCTTTATCCCTGTTATGTGAAGAGCTGCTTGGGATGCTGCAACTTACCCAAAGGGAGATCAGGATGAATGAAACATTCTACATCTGAATTTCCAGATTCATGTGTTTTTGGGGTTCCCTAATTATTTTTATGACGACAATCATGATAGAGCGGTGGAAGCTGAGAAGACTTAAGTGAGTCATTACATGGAACCCATGGTACACCAAGATGGCCCCACCACAGCATTGCTGACCCCATTTTGGGGTCACTCACTAAGGAGGCACACGCATTTTCAGGCACCAACACAATGAGCCACCAGTGCTTAAGGCCTCACCAGCCATACTGGAAGGACCCTGCTCAGACGTAATCAACAGAACAAGTTTCTGGCCATAGGCAATGATGGGGTCACTTGGGGTCAAAAGAGTCTTCAGGGAAGCAAAGGAAACTCACCTCCTTTTGATGGTGAGCATCACACCCAGAAGAATGATGATGAACATAAGGAGGCCGGCGATCACACCGGCCATCTTCACAGTGTTGTCCACCTGCTTCTCTGGCTCCACTGTGTTAGAATTCTGAGTAGAGGCTCCTTGGAAGGGAAAAAGGAAAGAGAAAGATATTGAAAAGTTCTACATACAAGACTATATAATAATTTTAATGGCAGTCACTTCCATTTATTGCATTGTCCTTTTCATCCTTTTTGGCTTAATACCTTGTGAGGTCAAAGTTATTAGTATATCCCGTTTTGCAGGATATAAATTGAAGAAATTGAAATGCAAAGATATTGAAGTGCCCAAATTATACATGCTGTGTGGGGACACCATCCTTCGTGAGTCATGGGGGTATGCTTTGTCCCTCTGAGCAAAACAGGCAATTATAGTTCCAGCTCTTGGATTCACATAATTATTATAAATCCTCCTTGATTCTTTTTGTAATAATTTATTTTTTTCATTTATATCATTAGCATCATTGTGTATTCCCTATAAAATTCCCCCAACCAGTTCACCTGTGAACCATAGTCCCTGTGCTCTTCTCTCTGTCCCTGTGTTCTTGACGTCTTTTCCTCCCCCTCCCTCGCAGGATGTCCCTGTTTATGGTTGCCTGCTAGTTTTATTGTTTTATTACTACTATCATTATTTTCCTGACCCTTTATTTGTATCCCCTATTATTCTTCCTATAAGTGAAATGAGCTGATAGTTTTCTTTCCCCTCCTGGCTTATATCACTGAGCATGATTCCTTCAAGTTCCATCCATGTTGCTTCAAGTGGCATGAGTTTATCTCTTTTGATTGCTGAATAGTATTCCATTGTGTAAAATACCACATCTTCTTGATCCAGTCATCTATTTTGGGGCATTTGAGTTGTTTCCAAGTCTTTCCTACTGAGAATAGTGTAGTGAAAATAGCAGCTTTATATTATGGTAGCACCATTAAAAACACTGGATCAACACATGGAATTTTTCTGTGTGTCTTACAGGAAACAAGTGGTAGGTGGAAATTTAGTATAGTAAATGGAATTGTCCATAGTCAAAAGAAACTATCACTGCCTAACTCCATTTCTGGAGTTTGGTGCTGATGGTTCATGTTCTGCTTGGTATTAACTCACTGACTCCAATCCTGATGGAGTCAGGTGGAGGACTTTCAATGTCCTCTGTTGTGTGCTGGACCACTTCATGGGTCCATCTTGGTCAGTCCTCACAAATGTTCCAAAAATAAGACACATTCTTTGCATTTTATAGATGAGAAACAGAACACTTGCTCAAAGTCACAAGTTTATGAGAAAGGTCGGAGCATGATTCTAAGGTTCTCTGACTCTAAATCTAGTCTTAAGAGTCAAAAACCTTGACTAGTCCCACCGTGCCCCTCTCCCAAGCAACCATTCTGCTAGCACCCAGCCTGGCCCCTTCATGCAAGATGCCAGGAAGCAGCGGCATCTTGCCCTGTGGGCACCGCTAGGAACACTTCTGGAGGGTGCTACAGCACCCTCAGTAAATTTCTTCCTGCTGCTTTTCACATTCTCAGGGATGTCATGTTGTAAGAGCAGCTTAAATCTGAAGAATAGTCTTCCTGACCCACCCTGACTTTTTGCTATGCCAGCACCCGCCCATCCTTCCTCAGTGATCGCATCCTCTTTTGTTGACTTTGCTTCTGGGAGATTTGTGCACTCTTCTCTAAATTCTGATAGCGCTCTGTAGCACTCTGCACATCCCCTGTGTACTGGCGTTGTAGGCTATTTCTTTCCCCATCTGTCTCCTCCAGTGGTCTGCAAGGTCCTCAGGGGCGACATTATACCTCCTTTATCTTTGTTTTCTCAAGTTAGCACAGAGCCCGGCTCGTAATAGGTGTTCCCTTAATGTTTGTGGTTGTTCAATGTTTAGCTGAAGGATCTCTGCCCACACACATTTGTTCTCATGGAACTAAATTGAGTTTCTCCTTTTTTCAGCCATGTGTTCACAGAACTCAGCTGGGTTGACAGGAGGCTAATGCCCTAAGCTATGGTTGTGATTCCCTAAACCCACCAATGGTTGTGATGTTCAAGAACAGCCCTCCAGCACAATGATGCATCTACTCTTCTTTCTTAAAAGTATCAACTGTTTCCTTTACCAGAGTGCTTGTCATGGTTCTCTTGTAACTTAGCTAAGCTGGATTTACTTAGTCAAGTCTCCCCAGAGAACACAGCGAGTCTTCTAGAACAGCATGTACATACTGACATTCATCTCTCTAATGTCAACTTCCAGCACTGGCCTCCCTCATAATTGATGGTTAACAGATGATTACTGAATGACAGAGACTAGTGAACCATAGTTGCTTGCTTCATGTATTCATCAATCACTTATTAATTTGCTAATGATTTCCCCTGTACAGAAGGCTACACTATGCCACTATAGAGTCAGAGGTGGCCTCCTGGAAGGACTTATGGATGGAGGATTTTATTTAGTTCCTCTCATCAGATAAAGGCAAGGCCAGTCCATGAAATACTAGGACTGAGTATGGTCTGCTGATCTTTAGCCTGGCAATTCCTTAGGGATTCAGTCAACTGCCTCCTTGGCAGTATAATATGATTTCACATATTACAGCGTGGGGCCTTACCCTGAATAGCTGGGTCTCATTAAGAGTAGCCCCCATTTTACAGTGTAGAGTCATGGTCTCTGAGAGAAACCTAATCCAGGTGTGTGAAGAGTCCTCAATACTGCCAGAGTCTTTTTTTTTTTTTAATTTGGAGGGAGAGCTAGTTCTGGAATATTCACTCACTGGCATAGCTAAAGTTTACTTACTGCTGCTACAAGATACATTCTAAAGACTGGGGTACATAGATAAAGGGGCCCTGCAGAGGTTCCTATTACCCTAGGAGTGAGATGCACATTTCAGCCCTGCAATAAATAATCATAAGCACCCACACTATAGACATTTGGTAATGCAGTGGTGAGCACACAGACATAGTTTTGCTCTCAAAGAACCTACAACTGATGGTGGGTGGGACTCAGGGGATAGATTTAATAAACCAAGAATCAATAATAGTAAAGTTTTCAACCAAGTTAAGGATGGGAAAGAGAGGAACATGATATGTGGAAAGTAGCTAATAGGGAGATGAATCACTTCTGAGAGGAAGAGGCTGGTGGGTGAGCTCCAGGGGATGGAAGCTATTACTAGGCAAAGAGAGCAGGAGAGGTGCACACAGAAAGAAGTGGAAGGGGCAGCACTGATGAAGCCTGTGTGGAGAGGCTGGTGCATTCAAGAATTGAAAGATAATGTCACGAGGATGGGAAAGCAAGGAGAGGACTGTGAGAGAAGCTGGAGAGGGCAGCTGGGTCAGTCTGCACAAGACATTATGAGTCACAACGAGAGTTTCTGTCATCTACTCTCAAAACACAGAGAGTCATTTAGGGGTTGTTCATGGAGCAATGATTTGGTCAGATTTGTATTTATAGCATGTCCTTCCAGATTCCAGACTCCAGATTCAAGAGAGATGGGTTTTGATAAAAGATAGTTGATCAGGTGAGGGCAGTAGTATAGAAACAGTAAGAAACCAAATATATATATATACATATATGTGTGTGTTAATGGATTAGCTATGGGGAATAAAAGAGAGAACTGTTGAGGGTGACCAGTCTTCAGTTTCATACCAAGGTGAATGATGGTGCTGTTTCCAGAATAGCCTTAGAGGGAAACAAAAACAAGGATGTTTGGGATAATTTGCACTTGAGAAACCCTCTAGAATAGTAGGTAGATTAAAATTCAGATCTGGAGGGCCCTCCCTGGTGGCGCAGCAGGTTAAAGCACTGCACTGAGAAGCTAAAGCCACTTCCGCATGAGTTCGATTCCCGCCTGCCCTGGAGGTGACCACATGGTGCAGCAGACCTCTCCTGACCCGCCCGCTGCTCCCATCAGCAGTGTACTTTGTCGATCTGCCTGTTCTGTTCCCCACTCTGTCTCTGGCGAAGCCTCTCACCGCCCCTGCACCTCTGGCCTGTACCCCAGTTCTGTATGTACAAATAAATAAATCTTAAAAAAAAATCAGATCTGGAGCTCCAAAAAGATGTCTGAGTTAGAGGAGAAAACATGTAGACATATGCACATCCATGGTAACTGAAGCCTGGGTATTTATGGAGTGGCCCAGGGAGAGAATAGAGTGAATGGATTAGCAGCCTTGAGAGTCTGCCATGTTTAGTGAGTGGGTAGAGGGAGACCACTGCAGAGGAGACAGAGGAAGAGCGGCCGGCAGGTGAAAAACCTAGAAGGGGAAGTGCAGAAACAAGGGAAGAGACGTTTCATGAAGGATGGGGTAATCAGCTGTGTCAAATGCTGCTCCTGGTGCAGAATCAAGCTCCATACCCAAGGCAAAGTGAAAAACTCTGATGAATATTGGAGAGCCACTGTCAAGTGTATTCTAAGAATGTGACTATCGGCCAACAATACGACATCCTTGAGGACATAGGACTTCAGGAACACTGTCTGAAAGACCAGAGGTCAGTGGTTTAGGTAAACCCATGAGTCCAGGCAACAGGTGTCTGAACTGAAATCACAGGTTATATGGCAGGTATTGGGAGGGGTCCTGCTTGGCTGGTCCAAGCATTTTTCAAATACAGGCAAGTCCAACTTTTATTTCAGACCCTTTAACAGGCACCTGTTCTGGCCTCTAGGGCTGTGTGTGAAGGAAGCGTGCTGAGAATATTTAAAGGTGATGCAGGGTTCTGGGACGAAAGGCCAAACAGCATTCACATGAGGCTTGTACAACTGAGAGCAAGAAAAATGGGAGAGAGCAGAGGTGGGCTGCTCAGTGGGGAAGATCAGACTTTGTGGTTAAGATTTGTAGGGAAGCATATTGAGTTGGTTAATGATGGGGCCTCCTGGCCATGTGATCAGCAGTGTCAGACAAGCATGGAACACCTCATCAAAAAGAAGATAATTACTAGTACTTTTTGGTAAAGATTTATTTATGCATATAGAACTGGGGTACAAGCCAGAGGCACAGGGGCGGTGAGAGGATTCACCAGAGACAGAGTGGGGAGCAGAACAGGCAGATCAACGAAATACAATCCTGAGGGGAGCAGTTGGGGGGCAGGAGTGGTCTGCTGCGCCATGTGTGTCAC